ACACGGCTATGGCATCAGTGCAGGGATTCAGCCAATAGCGAGTCACCCAGAAAACACTCTGCCATGTTTTCTGACACAAGAAGTGAGCTAAAATTAGTGCTGCGCGCTATTCCAAAAGCAGCGATACCTAACCCCAGGCCTCTTAACGGGGCCTGCTCCCCGCCCTCCAGCTCCGCCACGTTGTCTTCGTTTCAGTTCAGCCTTATCTGGTATCACAGCTTCTTCATCGTCTTCTCCTTCCCCTCAACAAACCACAACACGTGTGGTTGAAATCCCGTTTAGCCCTTCTTAACCCCTTACAGGTGTTTTTTTTTTTTTTTTTTTTTTTAATGATAGATATTTTTTCTTGCATCAGTTAGGGATGAACCTTAACGCCCTTTTAGCCGCCAGTGTTCTGGCACTGCCTGCTTCGTCGCTTTTGATCGCACCTCCCGCTATTCGTGAGGTCAACGGCCAACCCCAGGCGCTGAATGAGCGAAACGCCAATAGACTTGAATTGAATGCCAGATGTGTTGAGTGTCCATTTCCTCAGGTCACCAGTGAGAAGGCAGTTGTCTGGGACGATGGGTTTGATAGCTTCCTTGTAGGTTTCTTTCTCTTGCAGTTTTATCTAGCCACGAAGAAGGAAAGAAGAAGGAAGAATATATATACTGATGAAAGCCTTGACCCCAGAGCCTCAACTTCACTACTGAAGACGGTCGGCTCCTTTTGAACGGGGAACAAATGTATCCCATGCTCACCCCTCCTGCTAGCGTCGCAACCATTCTATACCGTCCTTCCGACGGCAAAACATCTTTCCCTTTGCCAGTCGGCTATGTTTTCGAACGCCTCGCGCAACAGTATTCAGCTGACAGGAGCGGTGCTGAACTACTTCTCTTCAACTTCATTGTCATCGACATTGCCGGATTCCCCGCTCCGGTTGATGCTGTCAGCCTCCGTGTGATCAAGCTGCCGCATGGTGACCTATTCGTAATCGGTGTGGATACCGAACCGACAAACCCGACCGCATCGTGGCGCCAGTGCCGCAGAAATGCCAAGTGCTTGAAGAAGCTCATTATCTCTCGCCTCCGTGCAATTCTATCATCTGCGTTCTCCAGAGCGATGAACGCTGCAAAGAAGATCAAGGGATGCGTTGGCCGAAGACCCACCAAGGGCATGACCTCCAAGACCGGAAAACCTCACCACGGTTCCAAGGGTGGCTCATTTGCCCATGCGTTTGCTCGGGCTCTTCACGGTTTTGTCGTTCCTGCCCTCCTTGGCCTGTTTGCAGGCCTCTTTGCTTGCATTGTGGGCGTCATCGTTGGACAAGGAATCGCAGCCTTATGGGCCCGATATCGCCGCTCTTCGACAAGCTGTAACAATGCACGTGTTGAGCATGGCAATGACCTCGAGAAGAAGCCATTATTCGGCGCCGAGGAAAATGATCTCCCCCCGCAGTATGAGAAAGAGGACCAGCGAGACATTACTATCCTAGCAGAAAAGGAGTAGAAATGTTATGATCGCTTGGGGATGTGTTGACCCAGCTGCAAAATACGGATGCGGATGCGGATGGGCCATCGAGAATAGAGCAGTGATGCATGAGGTGATTCTACTTTGTTTCTTATTTGATTGAATGTCTCGCTCTGACAGCTAGAACTGAAAATTGATGTAAATTTTACCAACCACGTCCACTCACTGGGAATTTCTGATTTCCTTTGTTACTTCCCCTTCCCATCTGTTTTTGCCACAGTCGAGTGGAGCCCTGGTTGTGTTTTGTGCTTTCTCAAAAAAAA